TTTATACTTATAATTACTGCTTTTTATTTATGTATAAATGTTTACTTATTAAAAATATTAGATAGTATTACTGAACTCTATAATAATAGATAATATTGCTTCGTTGGTCTAGTGGTCGCAAGCGCGACTGCTGATAATATTTTCCAGGGTTCGAATTCCGGTTCTAGTCAAAGTTAAATTACATTATTGTTTTGACTTTGACGCGAACTGGCAGTAAATTATGGCAGATGTTCCATAGCTTTCACTGAACGTTGTTCCCAATATGAAAAGGCTTTGAGTTGCCTAAGAATCTAAAAGTTCCTTCGGATTAGTAAATCTCCACCGACTGCATTAAAAAAGGGGACCTTAAGCTGACAAAACAACTACAATAAAATACGATTGCACTTTCTAACATATTATTTTATTCGTAATTAGAGATTTTGGGAGAAGAATTTTACACAAATCTGTTTAAGCGTCGCGTCCAAATACAGAAAAGGCTTCACTTAAATATTTTAATGTTTCCATGAAAAATCTAGGTTTATCTAAATACTTCAGCAGTGTAATAACTTCCTTTTAGAGCTCATTGGCCAAACTTACAGGTTTTTTAAATCTTACAGGAAAAGTATCCTTATTTTATCGAACACGAATTTTGCAGTATATAGGTATAATGTGACTTGTCAACGACGCTAATGTGACGTGTAAACATCAATGACCGTGAGTTGAGAGGCCTTACGTGTTCGTTGAAATATTGTAATAAAAAGTAGCAACTTTTAGGTGCGATTTATAGTGGTCCGCAGTGCAATGCTCCCGCAATGCATCGTCAGCTGTGACATGACACGTGCAGTAGAGCATCGGTAAAACTTATGATTAAAACGAATGGTTGAAAATAATGATGTGCGTTTGTCGCCTCGCAGGGTTACAGTGAATTAACGTGATTAGCTTTATTTTATTATAATATTATCGTATTTATTAAAGCATTCGTCGAAAATAATACTGAACACGTTTACTAGGTAGTTATGACGACGATGACTAGCGATGAGGTTGAACTTCGCCATAATTCACTTGCGTGATATCATTTTCGTTATCAGTGTGCGATTAGATATCGCCGCGAGCGCACCGCCGCCGCTCTGCGCTGCATCGCGTGACGGAGATCGCCGCGATTAGACACAAACAGAAGTGAGCTAGTGTGCTGAGCGGTCACCATGAGGAGCAAGGATCGCCTGGACGAACTGCGTCAGGTCAGTGTCACGTCACGGGTTGAGACATCGCACAGCACGCAAACACTTAAACCCTTATCGGTTATCTCAAACTTAAAACAGATGATGAAGCACTGGCAGTGGGCGTACAATGTTTACCCTTTAAGTTATCAAACGTGGGAAAAATGTTTATAAACTTTTAAATTTTTGTTTTTATATAATAAAGTTAACACACAAGCACACAGTTTATGTTATTGTAAGTGTATGCTTTGACCCGTAGACACCTAAATTCAAGAATCAAAATGCAGACGCGTTGTAACCCCTGTAACCAAGATTTAATGCTTCGTTTCCAATAATAAGTGCATCCGGTTTTTCACACTTGCCATGCGAAACACAGCAGCATTAAGCTGCTATTTTGCGCTGGTATTCTGTGAGAGCGTGGTCCTGCCCCGGTCGAGCCGACCCACTCGTGCTGCAACCATGACAGAGCTGGAGCGTGGCTCTACTACTTAATTCGTTATATCTACAAATACATTCAATGTAAAATTGAGTTTCACTTTATTTCACTTTGTTACTATTATAGAAATCACGAATTTATTGCAATGGTAAGCGGTTAAAACTTATGCCGTTAGGTTGAACGTCACGCTTCGCTGCCTCGCGTTAAGATGCACTCTCGGACTGCGACAAGCCGCATCGTGTTACCCGGAGCAAATATGTAGTAATAAATAATTAATCATCAAATTTATATCATCAGCTTGGTCTTGCACCATGTAGAGAAAAATGTAGAGTCTTTATAGAATAAGGATGACAAGCCACCGCACTATAGGGCTAATGTGATAGAGCCATGTTGCAGCCATATTATGTTTGTAACACAAATGAGTCGGATCAACCGCGAAAGGACCACGCTCTCACAGAATACCAGCGTAAAATAAGAGCTCTATGCTGCTGTGTTTCGTATAGTGAGTGTAGAGAATCGGAGAGTAGTGCTCAGGGATAGCAACGCATCTACATTTTGATTCGTAATCGAGAGTACATGTAGATGTCTATGGGCCACAGCATCAACTTACAATTAGGTGGACTGTGTGCTCGTTTGTTACCCATACTATATGTAAAAACCACGTATAAAAAATTAAGTATATTATTATAAAAAAAAATATATTTGAAAATTTGCAGCTGTCAAGCGGCGCAGGGGTGTACCAGGACACGGTGCTGGAGTTGCCATACCAGCAACTCAACAAGGACATTGAGGAGCTCTTACAAGAGGTGGGTTCATTTGCATGCCGTGCTGTTGACGTAGGTATATTATTTAAACATTAGTTCAACATAACCAAAGGAATCTGTGTACAGGTGTAGTTGAAACTTTAGTATTGAATAAAAAACGCAATTATTAAAACATTCTATCATAAATATAAAACGTTGGTTTTCCTTAAAGTTTTTACTATGAAACCTTTTCAAAGAACTCTTTACCAGCATCAACCGAACAATTTATTTTGTCAAAAATGTAAACTGGAATTTAAAATTTGAACATTCATATTATGCTTACTTGTAAATCGCCTTTTAAAATAAATTATAAATGGCCAGTATCCCATTCAGAAAACTATACATCACGGGTGAGATACCACGCAGACACCTGCGAGCCAAGCGTGGCAACTGTAGTCAATATTCTGCTTGTGAGCTACGGAGTAAACCTCGTAACCCACCCACCCTCGTAAACCACGGGAGCTGTCTATATTCAGTAGTGGACTTCTTATAAACTATATTGAAAAATGCAAAAAATGGGACACCGTACACACATCCATTATTTTTATACATTTGGCTAATTTAGATGAATGGTACACGCTAATAAGTTATGTTCATTAAGAGCATTAATTGCGTACGGGGCAGCACGAGAGGCAGCTTCCTATTCGCCAATGCGCCACAATGAAATCATACTATGCCATATAGTTTCATTCAAATATACTAATATTAAAAAAAAATTCCGATCTGCTTTAAAAATATTTAATGAAAGATTTTGCAAAGATTTAAAATCTTTAAAAAATCAAAAATCATTAGAGTATACTATTAGATTTATTCAGAGCCATACTATTATATTATTAGATTTTTTTATAGGATAGGGTGACAAACTAGCACATAGTCCACCTTGGTTGCTGTGGTCCGTAGACATCTTCATCTATCCTTGATTACAAATCAAAATGCAGATGCGTTTTCACCCGTGAGGACTAAGATGGAATGCCTCGTTTCCAGTAAAAAGGGACTATGGTTCTCTACACTCATCATACAAAACACAGCAGCATTAAGCTATTATTTTACGCTGGTATTCTGTGAGAGCGTGGTCCTTCCCCGGTCGAGCCGACCCATTCGTGCTACAACTATACTACCATATAACTGCAGTATGATTCTACTACATATAAAATAGATATGTTTGGAGCAAGAATATTTGGCTCGACCGGGGAATGACCGCGCACTCAAAGTATACCAGCCTTTCGTATGGTGATTGTAGAGAACGGGATATTTTTTTACTGGAAATGAGACATTCTACTTTAATACTCGGGATATAACGCATCTGCTTTAGATCTTAATTGATAATAAATATAGATGTCTGTGGTGATCCATAGACACCTACATTTATTGGTGAACTGTATGCTCGTTTCTCACCCTTATTTCATATAAAAGAATCTTGGCAGTACTTTCACCATCACTGACATCCTCTTGATTACATCTACAAAATGTAGAGTTTGATTCTGATTTACTTAAAGATGATTTATTCTGAATGAAAGGCGCCTTTACTTTCCGAATCAATAAGGCTCCTAGAAATGTAAATTTAATTCTAAAAGACTGTTAATTGGATAGTGCAATTTTCTATTGTATTTATGCTCGTTTGAAAAGTTCTCAAGGTCTTAGGAGACTCGTACTCGACAGCGGCGACCAGTAATCTGCCGATGACATCACGCCAAGAGGACATGAAATACTTGCCAACAGATAACGCGGTTTATTTAGCTACACTGTTCATACTCCCCAATGTGTTAACTGTACAAAATACTTAATACTGGATGCAGGCCTCTTCTCATTCCTGAAAAAGTATTTACAACGCTGAAGTCTAGATATCTTTTACAGTTTTAATATTTAAAATCCGTAAAGTTTTCTCAAGTCAAACACTTCTGACCAAATACTCAAACGCTAATTAATTATAAGATGTCGTTGTCTCGTGGTGGAACAGTCATTGACTAAAAGTGATTACTCAGTGATATTATGTGGGTGCCGAGCAGTGACAATGTACGAACATCCACCACCCGCACCATCCCGCGGGTGCCGCACGAGGCGGCCAGGAAAACAGATGAGGAAATTGGTAGCAGCGTCTTCCCAAAAACGACAATAAAAAAACCAATACATCTGCTCGCCACGCGTGCCAACTATAGCATATATCCCTCCTATGAAGCAATCTGCGGGGGACGTCCATGTTCATCAGAGGACTTTACAGGCTGCAGCGGCAACAGTATTCTGTGTGATTAACGTGGTACGCGGGCTGTAGCCCGACCGGGCATGACCACGCTCTCACAGAAAACCAGCGTAAAATAGCAGCATAATGCTGCTGTGTTTTGTATGGTGAGTGTTGAGAACTGGAGATCCTTTTTACTGGAAACGAGGCATTCCATCTCAATCCTCAGGGGTAACAACGCATCTATATTTTTATTTTAAATTTATGTTAAATGTATATGTTCATGGGCCACCACTTACCAGCAGGTGAACTGTGTGCTCGTTTGTCACCCTTATTCTATCTATTAAAAAATCTGTAAGAGCGCGCTGCTCAGACTTAACTCGTTATTGTCAGTCGCAACCACGTACGTGAGCAGCCCGTGCTTCCTGCCACAGTGATACAGCTGCGCTGTGGCTCTGCAGCCCGTGCTTCCTGCCACAGTGATACAGCTGCGCTGTGGCTCTGCAGCCCGTGCTTCCTGCCACAGTGATACAGCTGCGCTGTGGCTCTGCAGCCCGTGCTTCCTGCCACAGTGATACAGCTGCGCTGTGGCTCTGCAGCCCGTGCTTCCTGCCACAGTGATACAGCTGCGCTGTGGCTCTGCAGCCCGTGCTTCCTGCCACAGTGATACAGCTGCGCTGTGGCTCTGCAGCCCGTGCTTCCTGCCACAGTGATACAGCTGCGCTGTGGCTCTGCAGCCCGTGCTTCCTGCCACAGTGATACAGCTGCGCTGTGGCTCTGCAGCCCGTGCTTCCTGCCACAGTGATACAGCTGCGCTGTGGCTCTGCAGCCCGTGCTTCCTGCCACAGTGATACAGCTGCGCTGTGGCTCTGCAGCCCGTGCTTCCTGCCACAGTGATACAGCTGCGCTGTGGCTCTGCAGCCCGTGCTTCCTGCCACAGTGATACAGCTGCGCTGTGGCTCTGCAGCCCGTGCTTCCTGCCACAGTGATACAGCTGCGCTGTGGCTCTGCAGCCCGTGCTTCCTGCCACAGTGATACAGCTGCGCTGTGGCTCTGCAGCCCGTGCTTCCTGCCACAGTGATACAGCTGCGCTGTGGCTCTGCAGCCCGTGCTTCCTGCCACAGTGATACAGCTGCGCTGTGGCTCTGCAGCCCGTGCTTCCTGCCACAGTGATACAGCTGCGCTGTGGCTCTGCAGCCCGTGCTTCCTGCCACAGTGATACAGCTGCGCTGTGGCTCTGCAGCCCGTGCTTCCTGCCACAGTGATACAGCTGCGCTGTGGCTCTGCAGCCCGTGCTTCCTGCCACAGTGATACAGCTGCGCTGTGGCTCTGCAGCCCGTGCTTCCTGCCACAGTGATACAGCTGCGCTGTGGCTCTGCAGCCCGTGCTTCCTGCCACAGTGATACAGCTGCGCTGTGGCTCTGCAGCCCGCTTCTGCACTGAGCTGCGCTGTGGGCAGCGTTCGTGCTGCGCCCCTGCCACAGTGATACAGCTGCGCTGTGGCTCTGCAGCCCGTGCTTCCTGCCACAGTGATACAGCTGCGCTGTGGCTCTGCAGCCCGTGCTTCCTGCCACAGTGATACAGCTGCGCTGTGGCTCTGCAGCCCGTGCTTCCTGCCACAGTGATACAGCTGCGCTGTGGCTCTGCAGCCCGTGCTTCCTGCCACAGTGATACAGCTGCGCTGTGGCTCTGCAGCCCGTGCTTCCTGCCACAGTGATACAGCTGCGCTGTGGCTCTGCAGCCCGTGCTTCCTGCCACAGTGATACAGCTGCGCTGTGGCTCTGCAGCCCGTGCTTCCTGCCACAGTGATACAGCTGCGCTGTGGCTCTGCAGCCCGTGCTTCCTGCCACAGTGATACAGCTGCGCTGTGGCTCTGCAGCCCGTGCTTCCTGCCACAGTGATACAGCTGTGCTGTGGCTCTGCAGCCCGTGCTTCCTGCCACAGTGATACAGCTGCGCTGTGGCTCTGCAGCCCGTGCTTCCTGCCACAGTGATACAGCTGTGCTGTGGCTCTGCAGCCCGTGCTTCCTGCCACAGTGATACAGCTGCGCTGTGGCTCTGCAGCCCGTGCTTCCTGCCACAGTGATACAGCTGCGCTGTGGCTCTGCAGCCCGTGCTTCCTGCCACAGTGATACAGCTGCGCTGTGGCTCTGCAGCCCGTGCTTCCTGCCACAGTGATACAGCTGCGCTGTGGCTCTGCAGCCCGTGCTTCCTGCCACAGTGATACAGCTGTGCTGTGGCTCTGCAGCCCGTGCTTCCTGCCACAGTGATACAGCTGCGCTGTGGCTCTGCAGCCCGTGCTTCCTGCCACAGTGATACAGCTGCGCTGTGGCTCTGCAGCCCGTGCTTCCTGCCACAGTATAGTGCGCTGTGGCTCTGAGCCCGTGCTTCCTGAGTGATACAGCTGCGCTGTGGCTCTGCAGCCCGTGCTTCCTGCCACAGTGATACAGCTGTGCTGTGGCTCTGCAGCCCGTGCTTCCTGCCACAGTGATACAGCTGTCGCTGTGGCTCTGCAGCCCGTGCTTCCTGCCACAGTGATACAGCTGCGCTGTGGCTCTGCAGCCCGTGCTTCCTGCCACAGTGATACAGCTGCGCTGTGGCTCTGCAGCCCGTGCTTCCTGTCACAGTGATACAGCTGCGCTGTGGCTCTGCAGCCCGTGCTTCCTGCCACAGTGATACAGCTGCGCTGTGGCTCTGCAGCCCGTGCTTCCTGCCACAGTGAGCTGCTCTGCAGCCCGTGCTTCCTGCCACAGTGATACAGCTGCGCTGTGGCTCTGCAGCCCGTGCTTCCTGCACAGTGATACAGCTGCGCTGTGGCTCTGCAGCCCGTGCTTCCTGCCACAGTGATACAGCTGCGCTGTGGCTCTGCAGCCCGTGCTTCCTGCCACAGTGATACAGCTGCGCTGTGGCTCTGCAGCCCGTGCTTCCTGCCACAGTGATACAGCTGTGCTGTGGCTCTGCAGCCAAACTTTGGAAAACTAGTGATCGAAGTAGACACGAACAACAAACAAATGGTATATTTTTATACCAATACTGGGTTTTGAATGAACAGTTTAGATTTCTAACTAATAACAGCATATTATCTTTATATAACTTGTCTTTATTTATGGACCTACAATACGAGTACTTGTTCATGACATTCCAGGTGGAGGCGATATACAAATGGATAAACGAGGTGCACAGCAACACGCAGCTCATCCGCCGCCTGCACTCTGACCCGACCTACCACACAAACAAGCGTAGGTATTGACTTTTCTTTCGGATTCAGTTATGGAATTTTCAACTTTACGGATAAGTTAAGAGATATATGGGAGAGATTTACAGAGTAGCAACTTAAACAATATCGCTTAGATATTGTATAGTTTCTTTTTAGCTTCTTTTGAGAGTTTTCTGATATTGAAAGTCATAAAAAGCACTGGCATTATCATGGTATAAATATACCAAACACTTTTACTTACTTTGAAATGGTTGCGCTCAATTTAACTTATATTAATTATACGTTTTGGGTTTAAGTTATGGTGTCAAAGTAGTCCTTCTCAGATAAGCCGTTAGCCGTGGCACTACAGTCTTCGCAAAATTTGACGTTTCCTTAAAATTATATAGATTTTGGTTTAAAACTGATATTAAATATAAACTACTTTTTGTAATAATGTTGAGTGTTTCACAAATACATATTTACATCACAGAATAATAATAACAAAATAATAAAATAATTGTTTATTTCCAATCACAGTGGTTCTAATCATAGCGTGTTAAACTTAACACCTAAACCTATACTAGCATACCGAGTGTTTTGACCCAGCGCTCAGACTATCATGATGGTATTGTCACAATCTAGAATATCTAATACAATTTTATGTTTATATAATATGTAAAGTTACATGGTACATAGGTGGACACCGTTAGCGTTACCGTTTCAGCCTATTCAAGTTTAATGCCGAAAATAGGCCTCCCCATAGATAGCTTACCCTTCTTAGTTGTTACCCTGCAATTACACGGTAAATTGATACATACACGTGAAGCTAAGCATTAAAAAAAGTACTAGATGTAGTGTGATGCGGGCGTGTTGCAGAGGTGCAGGATCAACTGGACGCGGCGGTGACGCGGTCGCAGGCGGCGGGGCTGAAGCTGTGCGGCGCGCTGCGGCAGCTGGAGGAGCGCGCGGTGCGCCCGGCAGGCTCGCCGGCCGCGGCCGCCCGCATGGCACGCCTGCAGTACGCGGCCGCGCGTCGCCGGTACTCGGATGCGCTCGAGGACCACCAGCGCCTGCTGCAGCTGCTGCGCGACGACCGCATGCGCTTGCTCCATGAGCAGATCAAACTCAGTTAGTCTTTTATCCTCTACTTCTTCTACTTCTTATTTGTTAGAAGGGAGAGTCCACAGAAACCGCATTGTCTTTTCTTATAGAATAAGGGTATAAACAAAGCACATAGTTTATCTAATGGTAAGTGTATGCTGTGCCCCATAGACAAATACATTAATTCTCAATTAAGAATAAAAATGTACATGCGTTGTCACCCTTGAGGACTGAGATGGATTGGACTCACCATACGAAACACAGCAGCACTAAACTGCTATTTTACACTGGTAAAACTGGTTTCCTATTGAAACTTTCCTATAGTAAACTATTCTATAGTAATGCTCCGTTATCGGTTAAAATGTATCCAGGACTCTACACTTCCCATCCAATACATAACAGCATTGTGCTGCCATTCCACGATGTTATCCTCTGTGTGCGTGGTCCTACCCCAAGCCAGCCGAGCCAAGCCATTTGTACTGCGGTCAGAATAAGCTGCAGCTTGGTTGTACTACTTCAAAATGATTAATTTATGTTTCACTTTGTGAGAGTCACGGCAATCCAAGGGTTAATGACCAATTGCCCGAATATATTTAAAGAACGTGAGCAAGTGAAGTTTGATCCTCGTCTTTAACAGTTATTTGCAATAAATGCTGAGTTAGCACCCACTCAGCATTGAAGGAATCTGCATGTTTAAGAAATAGAAAAGAATTCTAAGGCATTTTAACCCAACTACCAACACGTATTATCCAAACTCTCTCAGGTACGAAAAGCGGTCATGTCCGGCCGCGGAACTTTTTCAGTAGCTTTACTTTTTACTCTTCTTTTAAAATAATTTTAATTTCTGAGCCAATTTCGAAGGAAACACGTTATCGCTACGTTAATCTTATGCGGCAGATGACCGAATGGTTGTAGCACGAATGGGTCGGCTCCACCGGGAAAGGACCATGCTCTCACAGAATACCAGCGTAAAATTGCAGCTGCTGTGTTTCGTATGGTGAGTGCAGAGATTCGGAGACACTTTTTTACTAGAAACGAGGCATTCCATCTTAGTGCTTAGGGGTGGCAACGAATCTGCGTTTTGATTCTTAACCGAGGATAAATGTAGATGTCTATAGGCCACAGCATCCACTTACCATAAGATGGACTGTGTGCTCGTTTGTCACCTTTATTCTATAAAGAAATTATTTATGATAAATAGTCGGGTGACATAGTCTGTAAGTACTAACTTGCTGCATAAAACTAATAATCACTAATCGTATCTAATTTGCTCATGTATTATATATATAATTTGCTTAGATTATGTACTTTCATACAACCATCCATTACAGCATATAAAAGTTCAAGTTAGATTGTATTATTTCACATTTTGGTTAACGAATTATTTTTGTGACTAATAATTTCTAGCTAGCTAGGAGCTATATGTGAATGTGTGGAAGTCGAATACCTCGAAGCAACGGATATTATACTCCATCAGAGTTTGTAACCTTTATTAACGAGTTAACGTGGGTAGAGTGTAGTTGTTCTTGACCGGCTTGATCGTGGAGCACTAGTAAAAGGGATATATATTAATAAGATAATAGCGTAGGCATTTTCCGCGTCTCTGACACGGCTGCTGTGATGTTAACCTTCCTCATATTGTACGGAGACGCATTGCATTCTAGTACCTACGCAGGACATCGCGTACATTACGATCTGTAGATGTACAGAGTAATTTCAAACCAGAGCGCAATATCCTTGTTTACCTTTGTTAGAATTTTAAAATTAAAGTTCAACACCTACCATTATTAATTTATTAAAGTACTAAATTATTTGATTTTTACGTGATATAATTAAATATGTAGTTTAATATTACAAATACAGTTTTACATAAAACATATAGTAGTAGTTATAGCACATAGTAATAGTTCCTTGACATAGATCTGTCTACTTCTTTGTGAACTGTCAAAGCGGATTCATAGTGAACATTTTGCTATCACAACCTTTAATCAATAACGATTTATCGAAAACTAGATCACATTACTCATTTTCGATACCGCTATTTAAGCAAAATGTTACTAATTACTAAACAGAGCGGCCGCGGTCGACGCCCGCCGACCCGCGCTCATTAATTTCAAAGTACGTCAGCTGCGCATGAGAATGACCTACAAGTTTTGTAATCACCGATGTAGCAGAATACAATGAATACAATACAATTCTCCATTAAGTTTTAATCAATGACTTTTTAGAAATATTTTGTATAAATATTAATAATATAATAAATCACATGGTAGAGCCATGCTGCAGTTATATTAGTAGTATAGTTGTGGCACGAATGGTCGGCTCAACCGGGGAGGGACCACGCTTTCACAGAATACCAGCGTCAAAATGTAGCTTAATGCTGCTGTGTTTCGTATGGTGAGTGTAGAGAACCGGAGACCCTTTTTACTGGAAACGAGGCATTCCACCTAAGTCCTCACGGGTGACAACGCATCTACATTTTGATTCGTAATCGAGGATAGATGTAGATGTCTATGGGCCACAGCAACCACTTACCATCAGGTGGACTGTGTGCTCTTTTGTCACCCTATCCTATAAATAATAATAATAATAAAAATGCAGTTGTTAGAACTTAATTTGCTCATTTCCGCGTAAACAAATTAAGTTATAACAATTAATATAATGGATTTCCGCAAAGTAAAATTAAGATTAAAATTCTATTAAGTAGTAATAATAATGTCCTCCAGACCGAATGTTGGTGCCTGTGGCCGATCGCGGCTAAGACTAACCGTCTGTGCAGAAAGTATGACGACCCACGAGTGTCTGCGCAAGCAGAAGTACCCTGTCTATACCCTCACTCTCATAGTCCTAGCACAATGTAAAATTAAAGGGTATTATTATTTGAGGGTAAATTTATACTTTTATTGTATTTTTCTTTACTATTATAAGTGTTTTGAGTAAAATGACAAATTTTGAATTCCAGCAAACCTCACAATCTCGGACGAGGAGTGTGAACATCTGCTTGACTCCAACAACCTGTCCTTGTTTGTTGACAACGTGAGTGTTCTTGGTTATTAACCACCCTCCTGACTCAATGATATAAAAGTCGATGAAAACTTTTCTATTTTCCAGACTTAGTTCACCTTTTCAGCCTATTAAAACACTAATGCTAAACATAGGCCTTCCCCGTAACTGCTCCCTCTTATATATTGCTTGGTAAGCGAGATGGCAACCGCAGTTTTTTGTATTTATGAACGTGGCGTGCAGTGGCGGTGTAAGGATATCCACTGTCCTATGTCGAGCTGTGGGCGACCAAGGAAGCGACACAAGCGACGAAGTGAAACAAGTGAATGTGAGCTGCATCTTCCTGCTAACAACACAAAACAACAAAAAAACTGCGCCTGACAACACGCTCGCCAAGTGTGACAACCACGGCAAAATCCCCTGTGAGGCCATTTATGGGGGAGATCTAAACTCAGCAGTGGAGTTTTATAGCCTGTAATGGATGGATGGATGGCTATTACACATCTGCTGATTTATATTCCTCCCTCGCTGCTCAGAACGAACGCGGAACGGTGTGGGCTACTGGATACTCACACTTACTTACACCGCCACTACGCGGGCAAAAAGGACTTTTAGTTTTAGTTACCGTTACCGTTATAGCCTATTGAAGTACACCATTGAACATAGTCCTCTTTTTTCGTTCACATCATATATAAATCACAAATCAATTAGTATTTCTAAGTGCAAGTGCAGTTAGTATGTTCGACGACGCAGTAGTACAATGGCTACGCGTTTGTTTGGCGAACACGGAACAAGTGTTTGTATGGTCATTCATTCATCATTCATTACAGCCCTTCACAAGTCATGCCCAAGGAATGCCACAAAGCACAGTCCTGAGCCGCCTGCATACATCGACTTCCTGCATGTCTTACCAGATCGTCACTCCATCTAGTGGGGGGTCACCCTACACTACGCCCACCGGTACGAGGATGCCACTTGAGAACCTTTTTCCCCATCAGTTATCGGTTCTTCGAGCTATATAGCCTACCCATTGCAGCTTCAACTTACTAATCCGTTGGGTTATGTCGGTCACTTTGGTTCCACTGCGGATATGCTCATTTCTAAGTTTACCACGCAGAGAAACCCCGAGCATAGCCCTCTCCACAGATTGCTGAGCGGCCTTCAGCGCTCTCATACGGTCAGCAGTGAAGGACCACGTCTCAGATCCGAAAGTCATCACTGGCAACACGCATTGGTTGTACAGTCTCGTTTTCAGGTTTTGAGGTATACCTGACCAGAAGATGTATCGTAATTTCCTGAACGCTGCCCAGCCAAGTTGAATCCGTCGATTGACCTCTCGGTCGTAGTTGGACTTACCTAGTCGGACTATTTGTCCCGGATAAACGTACTCGTCAACAACTTGAAGCACTATGCTCCCAAAAACTACCGGCATAGGTGGGACATGGACATTAAACATGATCTTTGTTTTGTCCATGTTCATCTTATGATCTATCCGTTGGGAGACACAATTAAAGTCATTGAACATAGAGCTTAGGTCCATCAGCGATCCTGCCATAAGGACTATATCGTCGGTAAATCAAAGGTGAGGGACGTACTCGCTATTGATGTTAATAACATATCCTTCCCAGTCCAGTAGCTTGAAAAAATCTTCCAATGCAGCGGTGAAGCGTTTTGAAGATATAATGTCACCCTGTCTTACACCTCTCTGCAACCTAATAAACCTATCCAAGGTTTCGTAATTTGATTCTGTACTCTGTTAGCCATGGTACAGTAGGGTACAATCACTTCGGCACTTTTGTATACCGACAGTCAACTTAGTACCGCTGAAAGGACTGTAGCACCGCCCAAATTTCGACGGAATTGAATGCTTTCTCATGGTCGACATACGCCAGGCAAAGTAGGAGGTTGTATTCTACGGTCTTTTGTACAATCTGCCGCAAGGTATGTAATTTATGGTACTGAAGCCTTTTCGGAAATCGGCTTGTTCGGGAGGTTGAAAGTCATCGAGTCTGCGTGCTAGACGATTCGTAATGACTCTGGAAAACAACTCGTAGACGCGGCTCAGAAGGGAAATCGGTTTGTAGTTATTCAAGAGAGCGTCATCGCCTTAAAGAACAAGACCACCGCTTCACGACTCCGGAGTAGTGCCACCTTGCAGGACGGAATCAGACCAATCGGAACCACCTGCTTTCAGAAGTTCCACTGTAATTCCATCCTCAAAGGGGCCTTGCCATTCTTAAGGTGCTGGAGAGTCATTCTAATCTCGCTCAGACTGACGTCCGGGATATCATCGGAATAGTGTCAGATAAGACTTGCTCTTAGATCGTTACTCACACTTGCGTGTGGTTCCAACGGTGATGTGTACAATTGCCCATAGAACCTCTCAATCTCACTCAAAATCTCAGGTGTTCCGGAAACGATGTTGCCATTCTCGGTCTTCAGCTTTGACAGTTGGCTCTTTCTGGCAGACAGATCTGTGGAAAAGATTTTGGAGCCCTGGTTCTGCTCGATCACTTCTTCAATACAAGCTGTATTGAAGTTGTGCAAGTCCCGCCGCAGTACATGCGTATTTGGAGATCTGTCCGTTCAGTTGCCAGTATACTGTCAAATCTGTTGAAGACTGCAGCTTCATTTCCCGTCTAACAACCATGATATGAAGAGTGCGATCGGAGAGTTTTTGTGTTCTTAAGCGACGGGTCTTGCAGAACTTAACTCCGACAGCATGGACAATTTCTACGAGCTTGTGATTCATGTCGTCCACTGCATTGCAATCTTCTAGGCACTGAAAACGGTTTTGTAACTCGAGTTGAAAGGTTTCGGGACTTTGGACTAGAGCACGAGGCAGACGGACCGTTGACTTTATTATACGAGACCTCTCCAACTTGACGTTTAAGTTCAGTGTGCCTCTACCCATCCGATGATCTGCTAGTTTTCACCCTTGCGATCACTGAGACATCACTGATGAATTGCCGTCTAATCGTCATAATAAAGTCAGTCTCATTTTTTGTCGAACCGTCGGGGCTCGACCAGGTCCACTTTCCGTGGGGCCGCTTCTGGAAGAAAGAGTTCATCATAAAGAGTCCCTCGTTCTCCATGAAGCCGGCCTACCTTCAGCTCACCGTTCTTTCTTGTGCCTAGCTTTGCGTTGAGTTTGGTTTTAGAGGAATGCATGGCTCTAGAAATATCCTCATACATTTCTTCCACCTCCTCATTGGGATTTACCAACGTTGGTGTGTAAACCTGCATGACCTTCAGCGAATACCGTTTGGTGATTCAGAGTATAAGGTACGCCACCTTCATCGACACCCTCCCAATCTTTACAAAGTTGTTAACGAGAGACTTATGGACGATAAATCTAACACCTCCTTGGGACAGATGGTCGCCCTCCGGCGATAGAACAATTTGCGGGATTCGAAAATTACCGTATCCTCCTCCTCTCTTCAGACCTCGGATAATCCTATACTATTCCAGCGCAACTTGTCAATCTCTTCTTCCAACTCTAGGATCTTCTCGTCAGTTCTCAGAGTGCGTGCGTTTTAAGTTGCCAGGTCAAGTCGTTTTAGGTGGTAACCGTACCTCCACCGGAGATTCTTAGCACTCCTTGTTCCGCCGTTACCATGGTCGTCACGGTAGCCAGGAATAGCAGGGCCGCCGGGGACTGGGGGCCGTCTATTTGTGTCGTTGTTCATTGGGAGTATATCGCTATAGATTCACCCTTGGCGAGCGGGTTGGCAACCGCAGTTTGTTGTCGTACAGTTACTGTTATCAGGAAGATGCTGCTGCCCATCTCCTGCCTGTTTCCTTCTGTCGCCTTTTACGGCACCCACTTTTTTGTATGGTCATGTCAAATTAATGTTTTGCCTCCACGGTACAGGACAAATCTGAGATAAAATGAAATGTAATAAAAAATTGCTATTTATGGAAAAAGACAGATTGTTAAGTACGGAGCCAATACCCTGCGCTGTTAATGATTTACCGCTTTTTTTGAACGTCAAGATGTCAAATCTGTAATATATGAAATGTACGTATCAGTCTAAGTGAGGTTATAATTTTTTCTTGAAATGTATGTAACCTTTTCACACATCAGAATCAGATTAAGTGCACAGAAAATTTTGTGTGAGCGCACACCTCTTCAAAACTACGTCTAAGCTTGCTCAAAGCACCTTATCATAATGTTGCGGGCCCTAAATTTGAGTCTCAGCTGGAAAGTCTTACTCTGTATGATATTGCATCTGGAAATATCTCATGAGTGTATCATTGAACACGGGTTGCGTTGTTAAGACGAATGAGTGACATCCAACAGCGCAATAAAAAAGCTAATAAAGAAGCAACATTTGATGTATGTTCAGACTCATAAAAGGGTTGTGAGAGCAGGGTAGCGGTATAGAGTAGTTGTGCAGGTGCGCGCAGAGACGGCGGAGGCGCGGCGCATGCTGCGGGACGCGGAGGCGCGGCGCGACGAGCTGGCGCGCGTGGAGTCGGCGCTGCAGGACGTGCGCGACCTCTTCCTGCAGCTCTCGCACCTCGTCGCGCAGCAGGCAAGTTGCTCATCTAACGCACCATTAAATATTTCTATGTTTAGTACTAGAGCCGCAACTCAGAACAAACACTGTGTGACGGCCGGGAGAGTGCGAGCGACAGTGCTACGCAGTTCTATTTTAATTTTCGACGGTTACAGTTTGAAGCAGAAACGAAATAAAGTTATGTAAGTTAAGCTGATATAAACTTCAAAATCACGTTAACAAAGCGCGCACATGAGTAATGATTTCTTAGTTGCATCAACCAAAATCAGTGTTTAGATTATCGAAAACAATGTTCGCGTTTTCAGAAACAAAGAACTAGAAAACCGCAATTTAGTGCGCAATGTGTTAGTACTATAGTACGTCTAGTAGTCTAGAAGTAATTGCACACAATTACTTACATAGAGCTAACTCATCGATGATTAAATGTTCATATTATATTGTTATTATTCAACCATCCAATATAACCTAAAAAGTCTACAGCTGAACGTAGGCTTCCCCCATAGATTGCCTCATAAGGGGCATATTTACCATGGGTGGCAAGCTCCGCAAGCGGGTTGCTGACCTCAGCTGTCTGCGTTTTAGTTGTCATCAGTAAGACGCTGCCGCCCGTCTCCTGGTTAGCTTCCCCCTGTCGCCTCATACGACATCCACGGGACGGTAAAGATAGTGAATATTCTTACACCGCCACTACTTGGTTGCCGATACTTCACCGCCACTACTTGGTTGCCGGTACTTACACCACCACTACTTGGTTGCCATATACTTTTTGTTTTATTTTTATTATTAACACAATATATTCACCGAAGGTGACCTTACGACGTTCTCTAACAGTTGACCTTCAGAAATTTCAAAAACTGGAAAATGCAAGCAGTTTACTGGATAAAATAATTGATAAAAAAGATGTTTTCATCTTCAGTTATATATTATTTGATTAAGAATGTATCTAACTGCTACTATTTTCCATGTCCGCAAACTGGAATCATTAAATAACGATGTAATTATCGAATGTTTGTTAGCCAAAATATGAAAGATAATTTTCTTATATATTTACAAATGGTGTTAGTTATAAAATAAATTTTGATGATCATCATTTGTGTTATATTGTACTTCGCATCTTGTTTTTACAATACAGCGGTCGACGCTGCACATATTTGCCAACATTAGCGGTGTCACCTTGTGGCTGCATCGTTACCTTTGAATGCTTGTCATTGACACATTACTCGTAATGTTATAATAATCATAAATCACCTGTATATAGGTGTTGCGTTTGCTTGTGGCTTTATATTAAGGAAATCGACTTTATTTTACATAAAATTCCTTTCATTACTTGGTTTAAAAAAACTTATTTACCTTTATTTAAATATATAAATTAAATAAAAATGTTTTATTTCTACGAGTTATGTATTATTAATACAAAAACCTTAAACCTACCTGTTAGTAAAAAAAAACTAAAGCCTACCTAACCTAAGGCAGGAACTATTTTGACATCACATGAACCATACATCATCAGCAACACCAAAAGCAAATAAATAAATAAAAATAAAGACATATTAAACTACTTTATCTTACTTATTCATATTCTTTACGTTAATGTTTAAATACCAGCATAAAATGACAGGTTAATGCTGCTGTGTTTCGTATGGTGAGTGTGGAGAACCGAACACCATTTTTACTAAATACGAGGCATTCCATCTAAGTCCTCAGGGGTCCTCAGTCCATCTGCATTTTGATTCTTAATCGAAGATAATTATGTACATGTTTATAGGATACAGCATCCACATACCATCAGGTAGACTGTGTGCTCGTTTGTAACCCTCATTATGTATAAAAAATATTTGAAACTTACAAAAGTAAAGTAAAGTAAAGTATATATAGGTAATGCTTGAAATATTGAAGGCGGCTGTCCGTTCTCATCGTCAGTCGTTAAAACGGCATGCGGACATGCGTTCATTATTTTATTATTTTACCTTTTATGCTTGTTATGTATTAATTTTATTTCGATTCTGAATGCTGAATTTAAATTAACAAAATAAGTATATATTTTTCTACTTATTTATAAATAAAAACATGGTACATTAAATGGTGGATTATTAGAGCGAAATAAATAAGGAGGTGGGCAGCAGTATTTTCCTAATAACGAATAAAATTAAAGGCTCGCCACGTGTGGCAACTGTGGCAACTGTGGCAAATATCCCCCTATGAGGCAATCTATGGGTAATTAGCACGCAAAAGCCTGTTTTAAATAAAGTATAAATCAAATAATATGTCAGTGAAGTATAAAACATTATGTTATCAATTATCTGTCAATATAAAAATTAAGTAATTAAAATTATGTTCACTGATAACATGGAAAATATTATGTCGTATTAAACTAGTTTATTATCTTTATCTACTTAATCGTAACGAGACCTTACATGTAATTAGCTATAAACTGTTTTAATAATTTAATACATTAAAGAGGTATTTTGTAACAGGTTTTGAATATAAAATAATGCTTAACGCTGCTGTGATTGAATTGTTTTATAATTTCCTACTAATGTTGGTATTACCATCCCAGCGACAGCAAACAGTGGAAAAAGGGCGAGTAGTCTGGTTCCGCAGTACTAGATGCCACAAATTTAGGTTTGGCGTGACGTTTATTGAAAACCCTCTTAACAACGGGAGAGACTCACCACCAGCTGTACACTTTTACAGGCTGATGTGAGGAAGCAGAAGATTATATGGCGGAAGATATGAGAAATGAAAACATACCGTCATAGACTAGATTATTTTATTCTTCTTTTATAGAACGAAGGATAGAAGGTGACAAACGAGCACACAGTCCACCTGAGGGTACGTTGATGCTGTAGCCCATAGACGTCTAAGTCTGTACTTGATAAAGAATTAAAATGTGAATGTATTGTTACTCCTGAAAACTAAGCTTGAATGCCTCATTTAAGCCTAGTCATCACCAGTAAAAGGGTCTCCGGTTCCTTAAACTCACCTTACGAAATTAAACTGATATTTTACGCTGGTATTATGTGTGCGTTGTGGTACTTCCCCGGTAGAATTCGCGCTATAACCGTAATACAGCCGCAACGTAGCTCTACCACGTCAAGATCCGTCGCAGATTTTATGACGTTTAGAACTTTAGAAATTTGTCAGTTTCCAAATATAAAGTAAATACTAAAAAAATTACAGCAAGACCAGATCGACAGCGTGGAGTACTTCGCACTGCAGGCCACCGAGCACGTTGAGTGCGGCGGCCAGGAACTTCTAAAGGGCACTGTCAGCCGCCGAAAAGCTAAAAAGGTAATAATTAATAATCTATAGTATTTTATAGCATACATTTAGGAGAGTGCGCTCGAGAATTATACGATTGTATACCTTCCTCCCCTTACCACTTTCGGACAACCAGACGCTTGAAGGTAAGGTTTTTTATATTCATTGTGTGAATAATTTCTAACTAAAAAGGTTATATAATTAATGGTCTAATATTTTTAATAAAAGTAAAACGCCCGTTAACCAAAATTAAATAATATCACCTTTAATTTATAATATAAGCACTTTTCAGTTAGTTCGACACTGTTCTGAGAATGGATGGGAATTTCATGATTTTGATCCAAAACATCGATTGAAATATATGTAATTTTTTATTCCGTATAGTTAAACTTATATAAATATAACACTATATTAGTACCAAACATTTATTTCCATACTGTGAAGAAAACATTTTGGAACATAAAAAGAAGTTGTTAGGAACCGTAAGCAACATCACATTGCATTATTTGTAAATAATTTGGAAAAATCGAACAACAAACCGCAGCCGTGTACATCTCGTTGTAGCCGGCTGAACCGAGATGTAACCGCATTTCCGCTTTTAGTGGTGTATACATAATCATGGTATATGTATGTACACACTTGGTGACTGCTTCGTTCATCGTCATCTGAATTTTATGCTTTTGAATGGATCCAAAAAATCTCGAGATGTCCCACGTCTAATCTGAGTACGAGTATATTATTTTAATGTATTATGTGTTATTATACTTATTACATTTAATATTTATAAAGACATATTGCTGATATGAATACTTAAGAATTATGTAGGTACAACTTTTTTAAAACAGACACGACGTGCAACAAGGCAAAATGAAATGGACAGCACCCATGGTCAGGCCCCCGTGACCATGGGTGCTGGAGAGCACCCGAAACGTCGGGTATTCAAATTAATATAAATAAAACGCGATAAAATCCGTAAAAGTAGTTTTAATCAACTTAAATTAACAATAAAAATTTTTTTTCTGTTACGAATAACAAAAACTAGCATTTTTGAAGCTTGTAGAGTAGGTATAACTAGCTATCCAACATTTCTATTTTTTTCATAACACTTCGCAGTATTTTCGTGACTCGGGTGTATAGTATTGTAACTAGCTGACTATATGGAAATGGTAGGGAGAGCTGTAATCTCATGGTCCTGACTTCTAAACATCACTAGTCCCCTAACACCCTTACAGCCCTAGTAATAGCTGCAAAGTGATATATAAATAAGCACGGGATTTTTGTTCCATGAGGCAGGTAGCTGCTACGTACGTAAGGTAACAGACGGAAAGTGGGAAGGAAATGGGTCTAGAGATCATTTTCATATTACCAATTTTGCAGACTCACGAGACCGTGGTTAAGTTAAAAGTGTCTTTGTCACAGTAAGAAGAATGCTGGCCTCTAAATAAGCTGCCTAAAGACGAAAATAAGGCGTTTAATTAAAAAAAATATACAGTCATTAAAATCAATAAGTTTTTATTTAGTGTTTTCTCTATAGAATAGAATAATTTTTATACAATATTGATTACATGTAATTCTTACAGAAAGTCATTTTCTAATTTTATTACTGGTTTAGAAATAAAATTTCTGAAGAACCAGCAAGAAACCCAGCGGGACTCTTTTTTTTAAAGCATAAGTTACAATTGTAATGAAGACATTTAGAAACAGCATGGCGGCGAACACCTCATTCCCAAGGGCTATTGTCAATCACGTACTCTTTAGTAGTATAATAACCCTTTTTTTTTACATGCGGAAATGCTTACGCATACCCGCCTCGCGGGGGCAAGGACGGGTTATGTCGGACTCGCACCGACTAAAACCCCATGGTGTTCCACCTTTGTCGCATATTGGCAGGGCTACGGGAACGCTTTCGCACACATCCGCGGCCCTACTAGCGCCTGCCGCCCCATGGCAGCACCTCCTCGGGAGAGGAAAATTCCTCCCCGTTCTCCTTCCCAGGTAAGGCGCACCAGAACACATGGCGCGCCTTCCTCCACGGCCTTCAATTACGTCTGTGCAACAGACGCCCCCGCGTCCGATGCACAAAGGCCATGGGGCCAGGAAAAACGAGCACTTAGAAGTACTAGCCTTCCCGACCCCAGCGGCGGATCTGGTCTATGGCTCCGCCGACAACCAAGATTCGGCTGCGGAGGGTAGGGAGAGCGGCGCCTCGCAATACCGACAATCCTCTCCCCCCGCAGCCCCACCACCACCGCATCAACGGTGCGGCCCCGTTTGAGACGCGAAGGATAGGGCGAGTGGCGCATCGCCATACCAACACTCCTCTTCCTCCGCGACTCCACCTCGGCTGCAGCGGTAGAGGGTGCGCGAGTCCCCACTCTCTGCAGTCCACCAGCACACATCCGAAGTGGGCTCCCCAAGCCCACTCGGAGTGGCCACCTCAGGCCAGCCCTTCACCTCGGGCCAGCCACGTGGGTTCCTCTTTGTTCACCGTGGGAGACCAAGCCACGGCTACTAAGCCCCCCCGCCACGACAAGGCGGGAACCCGTTCGGGGGGGAGTATAATAACCCTTACTGAACAGTTTTGATTAATAAATATTTTAAACCTTTTGATAGATAAAGTATGTACATTTCTGGTACTTTGTTGCGAATTTTTTTTTCATTGCCTCATGAAGGAATTACTGACTCTTTGGAGTCGAGTAACTAGTATAACTAACTTGTGCTTGTTCCTAGAATTTATGGAATGTAAATTACTATTTAAAAAAAAAAACTATTTTTGTTTTTGTGTACTTACGTTAAATTTTCGTAAATATATTGAGAGGCCATAATAAATATATTTATTTCTTTCAATATTTCTCTAGGGGATTCCATCAGACCAAGGTTATAAATTGCTGTTATGGCTCTCTTTTGCAAAACAAATATAGTTTCAATGTGAGTCGCATTACCCCATAGCAATATTCCATATGAAATTATGCTATGAAATGAACTAAAATAAATTAATCTAGCTGTTTCAATACATGTAAGGCCTCTGATATTTTTACAGCATATCCAGCTGAACTAAGTTTGCTAGCTAGTTTAGATATATGAGGGTCCCTCACTGATTGCTGAGACTGCCTCGTTGGTCCAGTGGTTGTAGTAGTGCAACCGCTAATCATGAGGTCCTGGGTTCGAATCCCGGGTCGGGCCAAAAAAATCAATTATTGAGTTTTTCTGTCAAGAAATTCTCAGTAACTGCCCGGAGTTAGGAAGTTGGCGGTGTCTCACCCCGTGCCTTGGAAAGCACGTCAATCACGAAATTTTTACAAGTCCACAACGCTCTGAGAATTTTCTAAGTGTATAGAATAGAATCGCGAAATTTTTACAAGTCTTGGACGCAGTTATAATTCATTTGGTAGTGTCAAAGTTGGATCACGAGTCGCATCGACAGTGGGAAAATTATATAAGTGCTGCATCAGATGAATTACCTAAATGGTCTCAGTTAGAACAATTTTTAGAAACGAGATTTAGAACTTTGGAGATGATCGATACAAGTAAGCAAACTACAAGCAATAAGATTACAATACAATCGAAAAGTTTAAACCAATCGGTAAAAGCTAAGTCATTTCATTCAGCTATGAATGTGAAACAGAGTTCAGCTGAGCAGAATTGCGCAATGTGTAACGGTCCACATTTTGTTTATTACTGTACTCAATTTAAAAAGCAGCCAGTTATTGAGAGACAAAATATTGCACAAACTAAAAGGCTTTGTTTTAATTGTCTAGCACCTACGCATCCTGTATATAAATGTCATCAAAATACTACTTGCCGCAAGTGTGGTAAAAAACATCACACTTTGCTTCATTTTGAGAAAGAGGATAAAGAAGCTTTTAACATTTCCAAACAACATGATTTGTCTAAAGGAGAACCTCAACAAAATAGTGATGCGACTTCTTTAGCGAACGAGAGAAACATAGTAGCTAATTTTTCAAGACAAGATTTAAAAACTTATAATGTATTGTTAGCGACTGCTGTCATAAAATCTAAATCTAGAAATGGTTCTTATGTGATTAGAGCGTTGCTTGATCAAGGCTCGCAAGCTTCTTTTGTTAGTGAAGATATTGTACAATTGTTAGGTCTTAAGCGTACAAATGTAAATGGTAAGGTGTCAGGTTTGGGAGATGGTCAAATGGTGATTAATCATGCGGTTAGTATTGAAGTTGAATCGCGTCACGTACCTGGGAAAATTATATGCGTTAATGCGTATGTATTAAAATCACTTACTTCATTTTTACCGGGTCGTGAAGTACGTATACCTGATTGGTTAGAATTAAAAACCTTACCTCTTGCCGATCCTGGATTTGCATCACCGGGAAAGGTTGATATATTACTCGGTGCTGACGTATACGGGGAAATATTGCTAAGTGGAATTAAGAAAAGTCCATATGGAAATTTAATAGCACAAAACACGTTGTTTGGGTGGATTTTGTCTGGTAAAGTAACACACGAGTTGAATAGTGAGAATGTTATCACTTTACATGTTCACATAAGAGAGGATGAGATACTGAAAAAATTTTGGGAAATGGAGAACGAGCCTAATAGTATCGAGAAAAAATTAACAGCAGAGGAAAAATTATGTGGAAAAGTTATACAAAGAAACTACTTTAAGGCGTGAAGACGGTAAATTCATTGTAAGATTACCTTTTAAAACAATTGACCCGCAGTGTCAATATGGTCGATCATTTGAGATTGCTGTTAACAAATTACATTCATTAGAGCGAAGATTGTGTAAAAACCCTACACTTTATAATGAGTACATTAACGTTTTACAGGAATATGCAACGTTGGACCATATGAAGGTAGTTAATGGTGATGATATTAATAATCCTAAAGCCGTGTATCTTCCTCACCACGCGGTTGTGAGGGAAGATAAAGAAACAACGAAGGTCAGAGTGGTCTTCAATGCTTCTAGTAAGGGTGTTAATGATGTGTCTCTTAACGATGATTTACTAGTTGGTCCTAAACTCCAACAAGATTTACGTCACTTGTTACTACGATGGCGCAAACATCCCATTTGTATAGTTGCCGACCTAGTGAAAATGTATCGGCAGGTATATGTGCATGAGAATGACACCGAATATCAGAGGATATTATGGAGAACTAAACCTGAGTTACCAGTTCAGCACTATAAATTGCTAACATTGACGTTTGGCACTGCCTGTGCGCCTTATCTTGCAGTGAAAACGCTACAAACATTAGCAGAATTAGAAAAGGACAAATATCCATTGGCAGCTCAGATTACACAACGAGATTACTATGTTGACGATTTAATGACAGGTTGCGAAACTGAGGAAGAAGCATTACACATTTACGAACAAATGTGTAAACTGATGGCAGCTGGTGGATTTGAACTGCAAAAATGGAGTAGCAATAATCAATTGTTTCTAAATCACATTAGGAAAGAGAATTTGAACACCGAAAAGTCTATAGCGATTAAGGTTGATAATGTGATGAAGGTTTTAGGCATTTGTTGGAACAGGTGTACAGATAATTTTGAGTATATAGTAAATCTAGTTGCACCTGAAGAATATATAACAAAACGAAAAGTTTTATCGGATGTTGCCAGACTCTATGATCCTATTGGATGGATTGCCCCAGTAATAATTACTGCTAAGGTTTTCATCCAGAAATTATGGAAAGCATGCCTTGAGTGGGATCAGGAATTGCCCAAAAATCTTTTATCTGAGTGGTTAACATATAGATACGAGTTAATGAACCTTAAGAATATCACGATACCGCGGTGGCTTGGTTCAACAAAGGGGTCTAAATTGGAATTTCACGCATTCTCAGATGCATCAAGTGTAGCCTATGCAGCTGCAATTTATCTCAGGGTAATGAACGATAATAAAGAAGTAAACGTGAGGCTTATTACTGCCAAGACTAAGGTCGCACCAATAGAAAAGGAGGTGACCATACCCCGCTTGGAACTTTGCGGAGCAACTCTAGCTGCAAAATTATTAAACGAGGTTTCGCAAGTAATGGACATACCTAAAGAAGACTTATATGCGTGGACTGACTCAACTGTAGTGTTGGCTTGGCTACGCGGACCTGTCAGTCGATGGACGACTTACGTAAGTAATAGGGTGTCCCACATTCTCACAATTATGGATGTTGAACAGTGGGGACATGTATCCACTAATATTAATCCCGCTGACTGTGCGTCAAGAGGACTAAAACCGACGGAATTAAAGAGCCACAAATTGTGGTGGAGCGGTCCTGACTGGCTATCACAACAAATTATTAGTATTGAAAAGCCTGAAATAATGGATACTCATGAAGAAGAACGAATAAAATCGTTTGTGGTTAAAGAAAAGGGATGTAATGATTTTGAATGGATGAAATTTTCAAACTTAACTAAGCTATTGAAAGTTATTTCGTTATGTCGCAGATTTCTGAAAATAAAGTTGCCGCCACATGAGAGAAAAGCCTTTCCAAAATTTGCTACAACTGACGAGATGAATCAAACGCTACAATTTTGCATTAAACAAGTTCAAGAATGTGAGTTCGCGGAAGAAATAAATTCTTTGAAATTAAAAGGTTGCGTTGAGAATCGGAGCGTGTTACGCACTCTTTGTCCCTTTTTAGACAAAAATGGGATTTTAAGAGTGGGTGGACGCCTAAGCCAAGCTAATGTAAGCTACGATCTGAAGAATCCGATCATTTTGCCTGCTGAGAATCATCTCAGCCAGTTAATAGTTGCTGATGCTCATACAAAAACTCTTCATGGTGGTCCGCAATAGATGATAAGTTTTTTGAGATCAAAATTTTGGATATTGAGAGCACGTAATATGGTTAAAAAGTACTACAGGAGTTGTGTTGTATGTTTAAGATACTCAAAAGCAGCAGCCACACAATTAATGGGTCAGTTGCCGGAAGTTAGATTAAAACCGAGCAGACCTTTAAAAAGTTCAGGAGTGGATTATGCGGGTCCAATTAATATCCGGTTCTCTCCAGGCCGCGGATCAAAATCCTACAAGGGATACATTTGTTTGTTCGTCTGTATGGTGACTCGCGCGATCCACTTAGAAGCGGTATCTGATTTGACGGCCAAAGGCTTTATCGCTGCATTTAGAAGATTTGTTGCACGTAGAGGTCATTGCCAAGATCTCTTCAGCGATAACGGCACGAACTTTGTGGGAGCAGATAAAATGTTGTGTAAAATGTTTAATAACGCTAAATCTGAACTACATAATGAAATAGCCGAATTATTAACCTTAGAGTCAACAAAGTGGCATTTTATACCACCAAACGCACCTAACTTTGGAGGAATATGGGAGGCGGGTGTACGATGTGCAAAAGCTCATTTGAAACGAGTTGTAGGTGACACTACCTTAACATTTGAAGAGATCTCTACTATGTTGACGCAAATCGAGGCCTGTTTAAATTCGCGACCTTTGAGTGTTCTTAGCGACAACCCAAATGACCCTCTCCCATTGACACCTGGTCATTTTTTAATAGGTGAACCTTTGTTAAATATTAGTGATGTCGATTATTGTGATCAAAATGTAAGCGGCTTAGATAGGTGGAAAATTATTCAAAAAATGGTAAATTTGTTTTGGAAAAGGTGGTATAAAGAATTTTTAAGTAATTTAAATCAAAGAAACAAGTGGTATACGAAAAAACCTGAAATTAATATTGGAGATGTAGTAGTGTTAAGGGATGATAATATACCACCAGCCAAATGGATTTTAGGGAAAGTAACCAATAAGCATGCCGGACCTGATGATGTGACTAGAGTCGTTACTATTAAGTGTAAGGGAGGATATTTAAAACGCCCTGTTAGTAAGCTTTGTGTGTTGGTTATGTCATGAAGATTCAATCACATTGTCACGGTGGGCGGCATTCTTCTTTGAGTTGTAATATAATTGTTAGGAGTATGTGGATTTTTTTTGAAGGACAAGTCCTTGGTGGGCGGAATGAGTAAAAAGGTTCATGTATATAGTTGTATTCTATTGATCGACAGATGGCGCTATTTGATTTATGTACGCGCTATTGAATGTATCCTGCCGTAGTGGTTAGTTATCCGCTAATGTATGTCAAATTGAGTTTTTACATCGAGAATATAAACGAGTTGTGTTAACGTGAGTGTGTATCATTTCTTAACAGCTATTCTCTATAAAGTCATCAATGGGAACTTAGAACAGGAAGGGGCTAATCATTTAATCCTGAGGAACACCCATAGACACTACAGATCAGAAAGAACTGCTCGATTAAATAACAACTGTTTCTTTCTTTTTTACAGATATTTACACATTTTCTTTGAGTAATGACTCTGCGACAGTAGGGGAATTCAGTGGCTTAGTAGTCAAGATTGGAATGTCGTTAAAATGTTTTTTGAAAGCTGTTGCAACATCCTGATCTGATTTTGTTAAATTATTATTAACACTTAATTAAAAATTTGAGTTTTGTAATTTCATCTTGCCAGTTTCGCTATTGATTATATATATATAATCCAAGTCATTTTAATTTTATTAGAGGCATTCTTAATTTTGTTTCTTAAATGTAAAGACTTAGCAGTGGAATATACTTTTTTAAATATTCTGCAATATTTTTTTACATTCTCTGAATGAAACTCGATGATGATATGATCTCTCATTGTAAATTTTATATAACTCTTATCCACTCCTGTGGATTTCTACTGTTGCCTACTCATGAAACGATTTGCGGCTGTTTAAATAGAGTGTTTTAGAAGTAAATATTTTATTAAATTCAAGACTTATAAGTTTAAATAATGATCCATATAAATAGCTACTATATGGAAGAAATGGCAGCATTTTGACCATATTACTTATACATCTCTCTAAGCCATGTTTAGCTATTGCACCACAAATTTCTCATTTTTTTTTGCATTTAAGTCAGTGAAACCAACAGTCCACAGTGATCTCAACTTATATTTTGAATAATTAATCTAAGCAAGGGCTCAAAATGAGTAAAAATATTATTTATACAAGTGCCACTAGGCCCTGCAACACGTGTTAGCTCTGAGAACAAAAACTATAGAAATAATGGTGGCGGAGGAGCAGACAGTCCACTTGATGGTAAGCGGATGCGAGAGCCCATAGACATCTACATTGATTAATAATTAAAACACAAACACGTTACCAGCACAATCGCTAGTGTGATGGTGATACAACAAGTTATGTGCGCAAAACATCATCACACCACGGAGCCTGCACCACTGAACTATGTCCCGTTGCAGTCGCAAGCAAGCTCAGTGATGTTAGTTGTCCGTTCACCGTAGAGTGTGTGTGAATATGAAGGGCATGGACATTAATGCATGAAGCACGCATGAGCCAGTCAGTCGGACAATAGCAATGACGTAAATCTGGTCACGAACGTCCTACGATCAATTGGTGAACTTCTAGGGGTTCGCATAGCCCACTTTAAGAAACCCATGACTAGAGATTGGTACGAATCTGGACACACTTCTGAACTAAATTTCTGAAAAATCGTTGAAATATATGAATAAATTTGAAAAAATACGTTGTACTATAATTAATCATCTACACATTTTACATTTTCAGAAGAAACTTGGTCTGATCATCTGTTTGGCGTCGGGATTCCTCATAGTTCTATTCGTGCTGATCTACACGTAGCGCGGCTTTGGAATTTGCATCAAGGCGTATCGTCGTAGTTCTAGAAATGGACGAGTTTACTGTAATCAAGCTACTTATGGTAAGGTTTACTAGTCATTTTTAAAATTAAAGGTGTTAAAAACCGATCGTGTTTTATTTCTATTTGTATTTTTATTTTTGAACGTTATTTATTGAACTTGTCGGCACGTCTATAAAATACTGCTTCGATCGAGAGATAAAGGGTTTTACCCTAGCGAAGCGTCGTGTCGTTGGTAACGTGGCAATCGTTGTTGTGTATAGGATTATTGTGGAAACACATCATCGAGAAACGTACCATATGTTTGCGACGTATTGCTAACGATCTGTTTATTGTATTTTCTTGTATTTTATGCTATAACGCATGCATATTTGCACGATCCGTCATAAGTGCATTTGAAGATGATCCTCTTTCGCCTATATCAGAAGAGGGATAAAATTCCTGTTATCGCCCACATATAGACTTCGAATAGTGTGTAGAAGGCGTGGTGCTGCGCCGTGGTGCTGCGCCGCTCGCTCTTGAATCGCGGGTGTATTATACACCGCTGCTGCTTTTTTTTTTCAATTATTTATCACATGAACAAGCATTACAAATATTTGTAGTGATAGCATTACCTAAGCTATCGAGAGTTTACCTAATTAATTATTTTGATGCGTGAGGAAAGTAAATATGTCTTATGTCTTAAATATTGCATTGAAAAAAAAAAAACATATTTTGTAGTAAAAAGTGATTAACTTTTTAATTGGCTGAGAGAAATGCCTCAATGTTTATTTCAATTAACTAGCCTGTTTCTATTTGGGTGATTAATGTCCCTGTTAAATTAAAGAGTTGTAACTAGAGATGATTCGATACAAGTAAGTAATCGATACTTTTATTTCAATACCAAGTAACTTTTGTATCGATTGAATTACTAAAAGTACTTGTATGGCATCGAATCGCGCGCTAATAGTGAACGCATCCTTGCGCCGCCAAAACGTTATGTCGGTTAATCAAATATTAAAAACAATTAATCTTTCCAATTTTTTTTTCTGATGAAAATTTAACTACCTTAATTTGTTATATAACATAATTGTGTCGTTTATTAAAAAAATAGTACCAATTGTAACGCCCCCTCCTATTTTCCTAATTACATCTCTTTAAAATCAATAAAATTAATAATTATATTGTTGTGTATTATTTTGTTTTTAATAAGTTTTGATCTTTCTAAAGGATCTTTCTGAAGGTTTATTAATAGGCCGTTTGTAATATTTTTGGCGTGATCGTCATAGTTAGGACCCTTATTTACGTTGTGTTTGTTTAGTAACTTAGTTCTTATAGGTGTCTTTTGGAAGAATAAATATTAACTAGAGTAATTGAAAGCTGTTGGTGGAAAGGTACAGAGATATATTATTATATTTTTATATAAAACATCGTGGAAGTCAGACAGTCTGCAGTCCCGTAATGGAGGGATCCGACTTGGGCAAAGCTACTTAGGTGTGAGTTAAACTAAGACGCAGAGAGCGCATTGAGAATAGCGTCCCACTAAACAACCATCGCAGAGACGCAATGCTGCAGAACGCAACAAGCATCAATACGACTATCGTGGGGCTTACACAATCCCAAGGTCCCCCATACATCGCAGCAGACATCACCACCGCTTTACCTCCATTGACCAGAACCATTAGATGCGACGAATCAGGCGCAGCACAACCGCATATCTATCACAAGCCGCAATACCGCAAGTAGCAGTAAGCATCAATACAACTATTATAGCGATTACACCCTTTCACAACACACCCACACGATCCCTACCGACTTTGGTAACAAAATTTGTATTGTTGTTAACTAAAATCTACACCAACGCATCATAGTAGCACGCTACTAAGAAGCCAGTGGACAAAACTCCACGTATCATAGCGCTAATGTACTAAGACATTAAGTTGAATATGCTTGGTACTCTTATAAGTGCTACTAAACACACTCATCCCAATCAGAAAGATAGATGCACGACACCGTCCACAAACGGTATTTATGTGCGATGTCCACGGGAAAGCCGTATTGTTACAAGAAACCCGCTTACTACCGGCACTAAGATGTATGTCTGCGACACACCGCTTAGCGAGTCCAAGTTTACCTCGGTCTCAGTTACTCGTAAAGCAGCATACACGCCACTATAATAATCCTTTTCAAGTCCCATTTCTATTAATATAACGCTTTTACTTATTTGAGACCTTCCACATATTTGATTTATTTCATAGACCTTATTGTACATCAACCCACAACTCTACTATTGTATTGCTAATTCATCATAGAGACCTTCTATAATAATGTGTTGTATCATAGACCTTACTATTATATATTTTCAATATATAGGACTTTAACCCACAACTCTACTATTGTAATGCTAATTCATCATAGAGACCTTCTATAGAATTGCTTTTGTATCGTTCCGACCTCCGACGTTCCGATGCGGTCGTGTGTCGCTCAGCACTGTTTCTTCTGCAGGTCGACCAAGAACAGCGGTCACGCCTGAAAACATCGCAGCTGTGCGAACTATTATATTAGATGACCGTCATGTGACACACGGGTAGATTCGGGCTGTTATCGGTATCGGAATGACTGCAATTCAGTCGATATTACATAATGAGCTATGTGTAAGAAAGCTAGTTTCCCGCTGGGTTCCCCACAATTTGTTCGAAGAGCAAAAGGCGGCTCGTGTAGATTGGTGCCGGAATACTCTGCAACGCTTCAACGGAAGGAAGTCAAATTCCGTTTATAATATCGTCTCAGGTGACGAATCATGGATTTATTCATACGAACCTGAAAGAAAACATCGGTCAGCAGTTTGGGTCTTTGAAGACGAGGTCAAACCAATGAAAGTGGTTCGCTCCCGCAGCGTGTCAAAGAAAATAGTCGCTACGTTTGTCTCGAAAAAGGGGCATGTTGCTACAATTCCTTTATCAAGAAACGCAGAACGGTTACCGCTGAGTGGTACGTCACGGTTTATTTGCCAGAAATGATAGCCAAACTCCGAAAAAATAATCTGAAACGTCGCATCATCTTACATCACGATAATGCAAGCTCCCATACGGCTCGGAAGACAAATGATTTTCTGAAGCAGGAAAATGTTGAGCTGATGAGCCATCCTCCGTGCAGTCCTGATCTGAGCCCAAACGATTACTTTACATTCCTTAAAATGAAAGACTTATTACGCGGTCAACGGTTTGAAGACCTCGAAGCAGCTGTGGAAGCGTACAAATCAGCCATTTTGTCAACATTAACTTTAAAATGGAATTACTGTTTTAATGATTGGTTTGCACGAATGGAAAAGTGCATTAAGTTGAACGGAGAATACTTCGAAAAACAATAAAATACAATTTAGCTATACTGTGCATGTGGTTTTTCTTAGTCCCGATAATTTCAGTGTGCCCCTCTTATAATAGACTTTACTATCATAAGTCCCTAATATAGGACTAGTCATTGTGGAACAGTGCTTCGAGCAGTCGGTCACCCGATCAGCCTATATAATGCTTATGCATCAAGGAGACCTTCTATAATAATGCTTTAGTATAATATACTTTACTCTCATAAGTCCCTAATATAGGACTAGTCATTGTGGAACAGTGCTTCGAGCAGTCGGTCACCCGATCAACCTATATAATGCTTATGCATCAAGGAGACCTTCTATAATAATGCTTTAGTATAATATACTTTACTGTCATAAGTCCCTAATATAGGACTAGTCATTGTGGAACAGTGCTTCGAGCAGTCGGTCACCCGATCACCCTATATAATGCTTATGCATCAAGGAGACCTTCTATAATAATGCTTTAGTATAATATACTTTACTATCATAAGTCCCTAATATAGGACTAGTCATTGTGGAACAGTGCTTCGAGCAGTCGGTCACCCGATCACCCTATATAATGCTTATGCATCAAGGAGACCTTCTATAATAATGCTTTAGTATAATATACTTTACTATCATAAGTCCCTAATATAGGACTAGTCATTGTGCAACAGTACTTCAAGCAGTCGATCACCCGACCACTCCATATAATGATTATGCATCAAGGAGACCTTCTATAATAATGCTTTAGTAAATATACTTTACTATCATAAGTCTCTAATATAAGACTAGTCATAAAATAAATCAATAAATAAAGTTGTAAGACTATCGTGCAATTGTTCGTGTCCATATACATTCGATGTGCAGTGTGGTGTCTATATATACACTAGAACTTCAACATAAATATTTTACACTTCACCATAACCACGAGGAGTGCTCCAGGCTCCAAAAAGGCTTCGTAGCTTCTTGACAGTCAAAGCATACTATAGCGTAACAGAATTCTTGACTGAAAAAAAATTTTCATTTTGAGATTAAGATTAATGTTAAAAATTTGAATTATGTTTGTTTTTGTGTTATTATTTTATTTTGTTATAGCTGTTTAGGTGATTAGTTTATATTTCTGTATATTTTGCATGCCTACTGGTAAAATATGGCTGAACTCACTACCTATATTTCCATGTACTGTACCCATATTTGCAAAATAAAATATCTTTATCTTTATATTTATCCAGTCTTGTGAGTATCTTTGCCTTATCTACCCAGTTCTAAAACCATTTTCATTAACTTCCCGGTTGGGATCATCGTGTTAGCCAGCCATTGGTCTGGTTGTTCTCCGGTTCTCAAAATCACCAACGAAGCACTTTGCGAAACATTCAAGCCGTAACATAATTTCTGGTCCTTCGAGCCGGATACCTACGGATTCTTATTTTAATACAGTCCGCTCCTTATTAAGATAATATCAAGTTCAATTTCTAAGGAAAACCTTGGTATTTCAATCTATTTTTATTTTAATTGCAAGTAATTAGTTTATATCAATCGTAATCCTGCTAGACTTGAATGCGCGTTAAGTGTTTCGTATTGCTCAAGCTTTGCAGACTTATCTTATTTGATGATTTCTTATATTTACGCGAAAACTACACATTGATTAAAACTATT